CGTGATGAATCGACCAGAAATTCAAATTATGAGAGCCTACCAACCAATGGTCAAGACCCCGCGATGCTGGTGACTTAACATTAACAAAACGCTGACCAGAATCTCTAATAATACTGTTTTTCAAGCTTTGATCATGGCGGCTGCGCTTCTAAACGGGCCTGCGAATTCAATAACTGAATAATTAAAATAATTAAGAATATCGGATAAAATATTTATTTTGTTAACGTTAACGGCAAGCTTTCACGATCATGATAAGCAATAAGCGTTTTTAATACAAAGTGCTACATAATACTCATAGAAAACACTTTAAGGCCAGAGAAGACCCAAAATAGTCTTGATATGCATGATAAGATAACTTCTGCATCTCACGCTCAAATGAGATACTCCTAGGCGCGCCGATGTGTCCCTAGTATGTGCTGATATTCACCCTGATCTCGTAATTCAATGTCAACATTAGGGTGAATATCATCACATACTACTACTTGTTCCTATACTAGGGATCACACATCGGAACCGGGAGCGCCCAGGAAGCAACCTTTGTTTACATAAACACAGTGGATAGATAATTTTATCAGTTGTTGTCTTGTCTTGTATACATTCTAGGATGTGGTTATTTGCTTGCTGCTGTTATTTGTGAATCGTTTTGTTTATAGTTTTACAGCTTTTGGAACGATTACAGGGTTTGGTTAAACCATTTTCATGTTTGCTTGTAAGTTCTATTGTAACCGTCTGAACTACATAGCTTTATTTTAGCCTTCTTTTTAAATTTGTGTAACAACCAGCTTTAGATTAGGTATAGGAATCAACAATCTGGTGGATTCGTGTTATAGAGTAGTGTAATAGAGTCTCATGATTTGATAGTTCTTTCATTAAAATTTGTGATTGTTCCTGAATGGACTCAGTGAGGACAGATTCTAATGGAAATGAATAGCTGAATAACGTATCGACATCTCTACGTCATACTCATATTCTCAAATTATTTGTTATATAGTAGTGTTGAAAGTATTAAAGTTGAAAGTTTTGATACTTTCAACTTTAATAGTCTATTCAGAAACAATCAGAAATTTGAATGGAAGAACTATGGAATCAACAATGATATTCCACCTTTTTGCAATGGTACCAGAGATTTCGGATGAGAACTTTTGAACGCTTTCTAAATGTTTCCTATTCTACAACCGACTGGTCATTGGTTACCTCTCCTTATATGGGCATCACGTGTCACTGGTTACCTATTTAATGACTCATTAACTGGTTACCTATTTAATGACTCATTAACTGGTTACCTATTTAATGACTCATTAACTGGTTACCTATTTAATGACTCATTAACTGGTTACCTATTTAATGACTCATTAACTGGTTACCTATTTAATGACTCATTAACTGGTTACCTATTTAATGACTCATTAACTGGTTACCGAACCTTAAAACAAGTATATAGTTTCATGTGAGAGGTGACTATCAGGTGGCTTATGAGTATTGCACTCACTGGAGCACTGGGACCTGTACGACATAATATTATAGTTATACTGCACCCAACCTAATACCTACACCACATATTATAGTTATACTGCACCCAACCTAAGAGTCATAGTGCATTCCACGAGGATAGCTGTAGTCTACCAAATATTTGACTAATATCATACTACGCTCTACACAGTCTTAGTCCGACACATTAGATATACATTACGCGAGGGTACCACTACCCTGACGTTATAACGTTTAGATGGTGAGTAATGACTCTCCACCCATGACATCAATACAGCATTCCAGCGGTCCCGACATGGCAACCATGATTAATTTAATACATACAAATCCAATTTACCAGGTCCGCTCTGAAAAAATGAACTGATGACACACTAAGATACAAATTATTGCGGCTTTCGTGCTTTTGTGGCAAGCGGTTAAGGGCGGTCCCTTGCGGTGAACGACATCCCGAAACTCTGGATAACAATCGTCTAATTGTAACGCTCAATGTTTTCTAGTTATTTGCAGTTTAATCCAATCTATCGCTTTTTGCGCATAATAACGTGGCACGTGCGTTGCCTTGTCAACTCTGCAGGTGGTTGTGAAACTCATGACAAATCACAAACTGTTGTTGGAAGTATAAGGGTTGCGGGAATACAGTCAAACCACACGGTTATCAGGGAACAGTACACCCCCACAAGAGTGACTGTAATTATAACAGAGGCATTAGTGCATTACCACAGTAGTAGTAGTAGTAGTTGTGGTGGATAGGTACTGCATTAAATCTTTCACCATCTTATTGTATATTGTAATAGAATACCCTGGATTTCCATTATCGTTTGGAGAGTTGCTTTCTTGTCGCGACTGTGAAACTTTAATGTTAGATGATCGGTTTAAGAAACTGTGACAATCAATGTGATATAAAGAGGTCGCGTTTTGTCGCTGTAGTTGTTATGCTGGCAGTGCAACAAATAATGGAAGTTGTAATTGTGGCAATTCGGTAATCTGCCGATGGTCACATATAACGCACGATGTTCACTTAAGGCACAGTTGAGACACATAAATGTAATGAAAGTTTTAATGGAAGTTGTAATGGAAGTTCAAAGTTGTAATGGAAGTTGTAATGGAAGTGGCACGTCATTTCATTATCTTATTGATTAAGCCCACAACAGTCTAGTTCAGAGATTGGTATCAAGTTCCTGTGTATTAACGTCTGGTACCTGCAATAACACAGGGTCTCCGTAACTCTGTATCCCTGTTGTTACACCTGGAGGTATTCGTGAACAGTGAACACGGGCTGAAGGTTTAACCATGTGACGTCACATGGTTTTAACAGTGAGGCCCCCTCTCTATGGTTGTTCCGTGTCTCTGTGTTTTGTTGGGTAGCATAGTTCCGGCTGTCTTTTAGAGGTCCTGTTTAGAGGTCCTGTTTAGAGGTCCTGTCTTTTAGAGGTCCTGTCTTTTAGAGGTCCTGTCTTTTAGAGGTCCTGTCTTTTAGAGGTCCTGTCTTTTAGAGGTCCTGTCTTTTAGAGGTCCTGTCTTTTAGAGGTCCTTTTAGAGGTCCTTTTAGATGTCCTGTTTTAGAGGTCCTGTTTTAGAGGTCCTGTTAGAGGTCCTGTCTTTTAGAGGTCCTGTCTTTTAGAGGTCCTGTTTAGAGGTCCTGTCTTTTAGAGGTCCTGTGTGTTCATCTCTGTCTTTTTGCAGGCTCTCTACTTCACGATTTTAACACTTTCTGACCTCCACATTCTGACCTTTTCGCATTCGTTTAGAATTACGAATATAGGATTCTTAAGAGAAGGATGCAGTTTAAAATGGTATATGGAAACTATCTCTACCTCAGACTATCAGTAGTTCGGCATCTTGGTTACTACATTTCTCATCATATGACGTCACACATATGACGTCACAAGGTTTAACACTCCCCTTCTTCCGCATGATTGTTCTGTGTCCCTGTCCCTGGTTTTGCCGGGTAGACTGCTGCTTAGAGGTATCCAAGTTGGTTAGTGTTCACCTTTTTGTCAGCTCTCCTCCCACGATGTTGTGCACTTAATTCAGATGCCGAGCTTTATTTGCGCCCTCAGAGTTAGGAGTTGATAGGATTTAGAACCGCGAAGGATTAAGTTATAGCTTTACAGTTGAGTGCGTGTGATGCGAAGTGAGATTCCGGAAGGATTCGTTATATAGTTGCTGAGAAGTGTAGTTACTAAGACAAAGAAATAAATATGGGAATGAGGGGAACCTCGCGTCACCTCACTAAGTTGGACTATAAGTTATCTCTAGTTCACACTATTGTGAAATGTGAATACTGTCTGGAATTTGTCAGCAATGTGCGTGACGTATAAGTTCCTATTCATTGTCCTTTATCACATTTACATGTTCGTTAGTCTAATTTAGACCTACTCGAGTCATAATATTGAGAATGTTCGCGGTTTTCCCACATTTCAGCTTGTCTGACTTGTCTGAACTTGTTCACGTAGATTTATGCTTGTATGGCATTGTTTTGACCCTGTTGCCCTATATTTAAGCTTTCTGCTTTTCTTTTGCTCTTGTCTGACGACCTCGTTAAATACTGCTTCTTTGGAACTTGTATAATTGTGTTTCTTTTATTCACAATTTTTCGCGAGTTTCATTTTCAGATACGCCAGGGGACATTTAATACCCATGTAAATTGTAAAATGTGAATTTTATCAACAAGATTAGATTCTCTATTTTAAATCCGGGTATGACGGTGAATCAACAATCTTTGTTTTTCCGTTTATGATTTAAAATACTTTTAAACTTCAAAAGTATTTTAAATTTAAGTTATTTAACGGACACACACTGTGCAATGCCAGTATCAAATTCAATGAATGTAAATCATCAAACATGTAATTACTGTAGCTTAGTTGTGATTGTTGCCCACCCACGCTGCTCTCACACTGTCCTGTGACTTGAATTCTCATCTGAAGACTTGAACTCACATAATGAAATAAAAGTTAGATCACAACTCGTGAAACATATTTGAGTGGGCAAATCCGCGGCCGGACAGATTCTCAGTCACTTTGTCACCACCCTCCTAGTAGCTCTGTGACATTACTTCTCATATAACGCGGACATCACTTGTGCTTGTTCTGCCTAACAAGCAGTCTGACTCGTTGTAAAAATTGTTGATTGTTTAGAACTACTTGCCGCTGGATTACATGCCATTCCACTGCTGACTTTAACTGACTGTATCGGAGGAAGGTTGCCAAGAGGGGGCCGGCTTTTTCAACATGCTCTCTGAACTGTTATTTAACATATTATTTCCTTTAGTCGTTACTATGCGTCCGGTCCTTTCCAGCCACTCTTTAGTAACAAATTTCTCACCCTATTTATTATGTTTGATTTGTTATATTCGCATTTGGGTACGGTTTTTAAACACTAAAACATCCATGATTGTGGTAACATGAGCCTTTCCATGATCTGTAATTAATAGTATTAGAATGATCACCGCAAAAATGCCACACTTTGTATTTATAGTAAGACCGGAGGAGTGGGGCTAATGCTGCTCTGACATTTGATATCTTACTGATCTGTTGTTTTGTACGTGTACATTGTAGTTATAGTTATATAGTTTACATAGTCTGTTTAGCTGTAGTTTTTAGATGTATCACCCCGCTGCTTCACAGGTTCTGTAAATGAGAGGAGGATCAGTACATGGCACACAAATATGCGGAGAATCTGAACTCTAAGAACTACGTTGGTAAGAGCAGGAGGAAGCAGCTAAATGTGGACCCCTCAGTGGACACCAGTACCCCTAGTGATGAGCCACCCTCCACCTCCAAACCAGAGTCCACCAGTGTGTTTAAGAAACTCAAGATCAAGAAGTCCAGGTCACCGTACAGAAGCAGACCTATCAGTTTCACCCCCTCTTCAAGGTTTGAGAGGAGGAGCAGTGGAGAGGGTGAAGTTGTGAGAACTCCACCGTCTCCGAAGAAGAGTAATAAAAACAAGGTCAAAGCTAGGTGGAGGAATGTGATGCGTAATGGGGGTAGCAAGCGCTCTAGTAACCACAGTAACCACAGTAACCGCAGTAACCACAGTAACCATAGTAACAACAGTAACTGTAGTAACCGGAGAAACCGTACTGATGAACTGATAGGGCTGCTCTTGACAGCATCCGTTCAGAAAGCTAACACTACCCCAGAAACAAGTACACCCCAAGCTTCCTTAGGACCTGACATTTTGATCAGTGGGGCCCACTCTAAAAGTCTTGATGGAAATTTCCCTGTATCAGAAGTGCGTGGAGATGCGTTTGATTTTGAGGATCAGATCAGTCTGGAGAAGATCAGTCTGAGAGAGGCAGCGAGCGCTGAACGGCTGGATCTCTCTTTAGATGATCTCTTCTCTGCTATTGATGTATCCCCTGACATTCCTAACACAGAGGAATCTTCACCAGATAAGGAAGGTACTCATATGTTCACCCAAACTATAACAGAGCCCACCAACTACAATGAAAATGTGGATAAATTCAACTCAAAAGCGGAATCCTCGGATACAGGAGTACAAACGGATCTCGTTCAATTTCAAAAAGACGTGGAATCTACTCCAGCAGAAATAGTTCCTGTAGAAGATCCGAAGAAATGTGTTCAGTCCTTTACTCAAACTGAATCTTTGGAACAACAGAGCTTTCCTAACGAGGAACTGTACAAACTGGATATTCCATCTCAGTCACTCATCAACAAATCTAACGCTCATATTCAAACTCAGGAAATTGAAATTGAAACGAAGGAGAGTTCAACAGAAACCTTGGAACCCTCTCCAGCTGTGATTGAAACAAGTTTTGCCGAGACAAGTTTTGCCGAGACCCATTTCGTGAATGTCGGGCTCGACCCTATTGAAGAAATTCTTATAAATGGTGAGTTGAAGGAGACCAAACCTATTCAAAGGAATGTGAGTGTCGGACTTGATCCGGTTCAGGAAATTCTCATAAATGGTGACTTGAAAGAGACAGAACTATATCAGAAAAACGTTAGCGTGAGTGTTGGGCTTGACCCCGTTCAAGAAATTCTCATAAATGGTGACTTGAAGGAGACAGAACCTTGTCAGAAAAATGTTAGCGTGAGTGTTGGGCTTGACCCCGTTCAAGAAATTCTCATAAATGGTGACTTGAAAGAGACAAAACCTTGTCAGAAAAATGTTAGCGTGAGTGTTGGGCTTGACCCCGTTCAAGAAATTCTCATAAATGGTGACTTGAAAGAGACAGAACCTTGTCAGAAAGTTGCAAGTTCTGAAACTTCAAAAACTTCAGAGTTGGACCTTTCAGAGAAAGCTTTATTGAACGGCAAAGGTCAGGTTAGTGTGCAACTAAAATCCGAAAAATCAGAAGAGGAAGAAACCCGAATACTTCTCAGCGGGCTCAGTGAGAAGGTCTCAAAGGGGGATGATAGTGGACGTAAAGAGCCTTCAATAAAGACTGACTTGAAAGATACTGCAAAGGTAACTGAGATAACTCTCTCTGAACCCCAACAAACAGTGGACTCCAACATCGAGACTGAAGATGAGGTTAGTATTTCGTTACTATAGCTTACAATTAGTGTAATCGTAATTAATCAATACCATAGTAAGTCAGTATTATCGTTACGAGTAAGTTGAATTGTTAAAAGTTGGTATATATTGATCGCATATGTTAAGTTTTAACTTTTGATAACTTAACATTAAGCGTACTAAATGAAACAAATTACTGTTTGGACGTACGTTACAATTTAGAAGTATCAACTTGTCCGAATCCTGAAAGGTGTGTTACGTTTATAAACACATACGTTTCGATACTATCTGCAACAAATGTTAAAAGGGTTTATTCGGGGTCCTCAAAGTAACGTTTATTGATAATTCCTCTTAATTTCTCTCGGTCCTTCATTCCAGTCGAACCCACCAGGTCGTTTGACTATCCAGAGATCAATACTTCAAAATTTTTATCCCGATTGTTTGCTGACTGCATACCTTCACTGTGGTTTGAATTTCTTTTAATTAATTAGAACCTCCCGTTCCAGTAATAGGGCAGCGGAGGCCAGGTTCCAAGGTACTACAGGCGACCACTTTCCAATTGGTGTGGGAATTTGTTGGCTGAAAAATATTTGATACATTCATTTGTAGAAGTAGCAAACTTGAAACCTCGGATTATGCGAAAAGAGTTACTTGTTGCGCGGAAATCAGCGCCCACAATTTTTCATTGCCACCATCATATCACAAACCTTCTTCAGATGGTATTAAAACTCAGCAGAATATTATTCCCGCCATGCAATTTATAATATTGGTTAAAATGCTGAGTTTCTTAAAACTCATAGTAACGGTTCTTTATTTCAGAAATCAGTGAAGAGAAAGAGTGTTCTCGCGGTAAGCGAACATTTAATTTAATTTCATTTATAGTCCGTTAAAATTGAGTTATTGTTAAAATTAAGTTATTGTTAAAATTACGTTATTGTTAGGGTACGCGACAATTTACCTCGTGAATACAGAAAATTAAATGTGGTAAATAAGAAATTTAACACTATGAGTATGAGATTATTGTTAAACATGTACTTACAGTGACCCTAAGTATAAATAGTAAATATTGACGATTCCACACGTTATTTCAAAATCTCATCGCGGCTTTTCCTCAGCGTGACTTTTTACGTAAACTTCTCACGGCGCGAACACAGAAGCAAGCGATCCTTGTAACATCATGAATTATTCCCAATATTTCTGATGAATACTGATTGGGTTGAGGAGCGCTCTAATACTTTACATACAAACTAATTGAGTTGATTGTGATTGCATGTTTGTGGCTCTCTGCTACATGATAATAACTGTAACTCTAACATTTTCCCTTGATGATCTCTTCCCAGCTGCCTTGTGCTTATCGTTTATACAGTATATACTTATAGTACGTATGGTAATTTTACTTTATAATGGTTGCAATTTAATAATGCAGCTGTGTCACACCATCTTGCGAAAACGTTTTCTATTCGACCTTAATGAAATCTAAGTTTTCTCGAGAGAAACAGATATCGAATGCACGTGTACCGTGTATCATGAAGCGTGCAGTATGGACCGCGTGTCAATATGTGCAGGATACTGTGTACTCTGTCTCCTGAACCCTGTACCGTATACTGTCTCCTGAACCCTGTACCGTATACTGTGTACTGAACCCTGGACCGTATACTGTGTACTGAACCCTGGACCGTATACTGTCTCCTGAACCCTGGACCGTATACTGTCTCCTGAACCCTGGACCGTATACTGTCTCCTGAACCCTGGACCGTATACTGTCTCCTGAACCCTGTACCGTATACTGTGTACTGAACCCTGGACCGTATACTGTGTACTGAACCCTGGACCGTATACTGTGTACTGAACCCTGGACCGTATACTGTCTCCTGAACCCTGGACCGTATACTGTCTCCTGAACCCTGGACCGTATACTGTGTACTGAACCCTGGACCGTATACTGTCTCCTGAACCCTGGACCGTATACTGTCTCCTGAACCCTGGACCGTATACAGTCTCCTGAACCCTGGACCGTATACTGTGTACTGAACGTACGTGTACCGTACACCGTGTACTGAACGTACGTGTACCGTACACTGCGTACTGAACGTACGTGTACCGTATACTGTGTACTGAACGTACGTGTACCGTACACTGCGTACTGAACGTACGTGTACCGTACACTGCGTACTGAACGTACGTGTACCGTACACCGTGTACTGAACGTACGTGTACCGTACACTGCGTACTGAACGTACGTGTACCGTACACTGCGTACTGAACGTACGTGTACCGTACACCGTGTACTGAACGTACGTGTACCGTACACCGTGTCTCATGAAAACTCACGTCTCTTATTGTGTGGTCTAAGATTGCGTTGTATAAAAAGGACTAATGACCCTTAACCACTAACCAGCGGCCTTTACAAGTTAACCCAGACAGTATCTCCACGCTATAGGACGCCAATAATCCCCCTGCAATATCTGTGAAGGTGTTGCTACTGAAAGCAGACCCCCTGTGATCTGCGGTATATTACAACAAACACAGCACCGTTATACGTGTTATTTGTAGTATTATGTGTTGTTTGTAGTATTGTTTGTAACGGTTGTTTCATTGTCTAAACTCTATCAATTTGCACCGTCTCTCCGGCTGGATCCTTGAACTCTTGAAAGCGTACTAAAACTCATAATATAATACATCACAACAGCCATGCCGCACTTTATTGTTCTCTTATAGTCTGTAAGTGTCTCTATTGAGGGTTGTGAGCGCTTGTAGCTCAATATTCTTTTGTTAACGTGTGTTAATTGGTGGACAAGCATTTCAACCTCTATTTTGAGCCGCCAAATTATCACCTAAAGGTACCTTATTTACAGCTGGTTAAATAATGGGTTCTATTTACCACCTAGTTTATTAATATAGTCTATCAATCATGTCAGCAGCTGGTATTAAGATGATCTTAAAATCTTGCAATTCGTTTACTAAATTGTCATGAAAATTAAACGTTACATCAAAACTTTAAATAAGTCGTTGTTTGACTATTTGAAGGGTGCCCCAAACTTCAGGTGAAAGTGATCAGTACCCCGTTATGTCCTATACCAATTAAAACGTGTAATTAAGCGTATGCCATATAGCAGTTGCCACAATATATCAGTTATAAGTTGCCACGTTGCCACAGTTACCAGGTTGCCACAGTTACCAGGTTGCCACAGTTACCAGGTTGCCACAGTTACCAGGTTGCCACAGTTACCAGGTTGCCACAGTTACCAGGTTGCCACAATATATCAGTTATAAGTTGCGATCGTATACCCGACTTGTGCGGCCTCTTTTTGACAGCCATCCATCAGAAATCTCACTGTTGTTACGTGCTTTGTTAGCTCTAACAGAAGGTTTGAGCTACTAATACTGCATTTTTTAGCGTACTTAACGGACTTCTTATTGTAGGGTTTCTTTGTTGACGTACATTTCCGCGAACTGCTCCTAGTTTATACGATTTCTTATAGTCCCTGTGACGCTATTTTAGAACTTATTTTAAAGTTTTTGTTGTACTTTATAGTGAAAGTAGTAGATTAACGATATCACCAAAACTCGTTGTTATTTTAAGATAATGAGTCAGGTGTCACTGGGGAAGTGTGGTGTGGAGAGGGCAGTACTCCAGCACAGCTTCTGACAGCACGCTTTACTTGTCTCTATTTAAGCTCTAGTAGCTGCTAGAACTATTTTATCTAGCTGCAATCAGTACCTGACATTCAGACTGCTCGGGTTGCTTGCGGAGTTTAACACACTTATCTAGCTGCAATCAGTACCTGACATTCAGACTGCTCGGGTTGCTTGCGGAGTTTAACACACTTATCTAGCTGCAATCAGTACCTGACATTCAGACTGCTTGGGTTGCTTGCGGAGTTTAACACACTTATCTAGCTGCAATCAGTACCTGACATTCAGACTGCTTGGGTTGCTTGCGGAGTTTAACACACTTATCTAGCTGCAATCAGTACCTGACATTCAGACTGCTTGGGTTGCTTGCGGAGATTATCACACTTATCTAGCTGCAATCAGTACCTGACAATCAGACTGCTTGGGTTGCTTGCGGAGTTTAACACACTTATCTAGCTGCAATCAGTACCTGACAATCAGACTGCTTGGGTTGCTTGCGGAGTTTAACACACTTATCTAGCTGCAATCAGTACCTGACAATCAGACTGCTTGGGTTGCTTGCGGAGTTTAACACACTTATCTAGCTGCAATCAGTACCTGACAATCAGACTGCTTGGGTTGCTTGCGGAGTTTAACACACTTATCTAGCTGCAATCAGTACCTGACAATCAGACTGCTTGGGTTGCTTGCGGAGTTTAACACACTTATCTAGCTGCAATCAGTACCTGACAATCAGACTGCTTGGGTTGCTTGCGGAGTTTAACACACTTATCTAGCTGCAATCAGTACCTGACATCCAGACTGCTTGGGTTGCTTGCGGAGTTTAACACACTTATCTAGCTGCAATCAGTACCTGACAATCAGACTGCTTGGGTTGCTTGCGGAGTTTATCACACTTCTGTAGCTGCAATCAGTACCTGACATTCAGACTGCTTGGGTTGCTTGCGGAGTTTAACACACTTATCTAGCTGCAATCAGTACCTGACATTCAGACTGCTTGGGTTGCTTGCGGAGTTTGACACACTTATCTAGCTGCAATCAGTACCTGACATTCAGACTGCTCGGGTTGCTTGCGGAGTTTAACACACTTATCTAGCTGCAATCAGTACCTGACAATCAGACTGCTTGGGTTGCTTGCGGAGTTTAACACACTTATCTAGCTGCAATCAGTACCTGACAATCAGACTGCTTGCGGAGTTTAACACACTTATCTAGCTGCAATCAGTGCCTGACATTCAGACTGCTCGGGTTGCTTGCGGAGTTTAACACACTTATCTAGCTGCAATCAGTACCTGACAATCAGACTGCTTGGGTTGCTTGCGGAGTTTAACACACTTATCTAGCTGCAATCAGTACCTGACAATCAGACTGCTTGGGTTGCTTGCGGAGTTTAACACACTTATCTAGCTGCAATCAGTACCTGACAATCAGACTGCTCGGGTTGCTTGCGGAGTTTAACACACTTATCTAGCTGCAATCAGTACCTGACATTCAGACTGCTCGGGTTGCTTGCGGAGCTTAACACACTTATCTAGCTGCAATCAGTACCTGACAATCAGACTGCTCGGGTTGCTTGCGGAGTTTAACACACTTATCTAGCTGCAATCAGTACCTGACAATCAGACTGCTTGGGTTGCTTGCGGAGTTTAACACACTTATCTAGCTGCAATCAGTACCTGACAATCAGACTGCTTGGGTTGCTTGCGGAGTTTAACACACTTATCTAGCTGCAATCAGTACCTGACATTCAGACTGCTCGGGTTGCTTGCGGAGTTTATCACACTTCTGTAGCTGAGTATCTGTTGTAGGTTCTCACTTCTTAGTTGCTAATTATAATTTTCTTACTGTAGTGCCCAAAGTTGCTATTTTATATGTTTAAACTTTATAATTACTAGCAGGAACCCGTCTTACCCTAAAGTGGTGTCAAGACTCGAGAGACTAAAATAATTATTACCTATTTAATTCGCGTTTTTGACACCACTTGAGAGTCCAAATTTTGGGCACTAAAATTCTTATTCCTTGGCCAATTTTTTATTTTTTCATGCTGATTCGAAGGCCATTAAAGCATTTGACCCAGTCAAAAAAGTTTCAGTTGTATATCTTTTACGGTTTTTGCGGAAAGTCGCGTTAAAGTTGATGCCGTTGTGTCAGTAAAATGGCACGGATATATACACATATATATATATATATCGTCTCGCTATATATATAGTAAG